TTCCAAATTTTCTTGAAAACCACCGGTCGGGTCGTTACACAAAGCCCAAGCGAAAAAAGTCAATAAAGGGCATAAATCCCGATATTACCAAAACCCGACCCCCGGGCCCACGTCTCGAAATTCAGAAATTTTCACACCAACGGATTCCTTACTTCCCCACGAGTTCATACATATCAAGAATACTAAAATCGGAGTCCAAATGACCCCTTAAATCCCCATTTAAAGGCCTCTTAAACTCAAGCCCTAATCCTCCTTTTTAGCCCTTTAATTTCTTTGATTACAGCCCTAAATTCATGAAATACTACCATAGAATTGTGTTTTAGGTCCAAAATCCTTACCTTAACGAAGTTCCCTTGAAATCCTCCTTCCAAATCATCCAAAAGCTCTCAAGCCAAAGTTAAAAATGGTGAAATAACCCAAAATTCGCGAAGGACCTCTTTTAATTCAACTGCCCAGTTATTTCGCATCTGCAGCACTATAGCCGCTTCTGCGGTACCGCATATGCGGTCATACCTCCGCATCTACGGAAATCACTAACGGGCACCATACCGCATCTGCGGTCAACTCTCCGCACCTGCGCCTTCGCAGGTGCGGTCAAACCCCTGCTTCTGCGGCCCCTGGCTCTCCTCTCAAATCCGCTTCTACGGCTCCCTTTCCGCATGTGCGGCACCGCACTTGCGGTCTCCAAACCGCAGGTGCGAAAACACCAGCAACAGCAAAACTTCAGCAGCTTCTAAACTTCAAAATGGTCCGATTGACCACCCGAAACTCACCCGAGGCCCCCGGGACCTCAACCAAGGCACCAACATATCCAAAAACCTTATTCAAACTTGTTCCAATCATCAAAACACTTCAAACAACACTAAATCAACCAAAACACCTCCTATTCAAGCCTAAGTTTCTAAAAACTTCCAAATTCCTCTTTTGATCAAAAACCCAACCAAACCACGTCCGAATAACCTGAAATTTTGCACACACATCCCAAATCACATAACGAAGCTACTGCAACTCTCGGAATTCTATTCCAACCCCTATATCAAAATCTCGCCTATCAACCGGAAATCACAAAATATCAACTTCGCCAACTCAAGCCTAAATCTACTCCAATCCTCCAAAACCCATTCCGATTACACTCTTAAGTCATAATTAACCTCCCGAAGCTAACCGAACCATCAGAACTCACATCCGAGCCCTCTAACGCATAAGTCAACATCCAGTTGACTTTTCCAACTTAAGCCTTCCTAAAAGAGACTATGCGTCTCAAACTTCACCAAAACCAATCCGAATCCAATCTGACGAACCCGATACCTCAAAACACGGATAAAAAAGCATAAAGAAGCAGAAATGGGGGAAATGGAGCGGTATCTCATGAGACGACCGGCCGGGTCGTCACATGAGGTGACTTGCCTATATGCATGTGCCCGGGTTAATCATGCTTGGGGGTAGATTATTTGATTATTTGTGCCTTGTTGGAATATGTGACCTTCTTTCTTCACGCTTTACTTGACTTCTAGATTAAAATGAATATGAAGTTAAATGCTAGAAACCATGATTTAGCTTATTATAACTTGATTAAAATTTGACGGAGTTTTGGTGAAACTATTGATGTACTAAATTCGGTCATCACTATACTCAATCACAAATACATCGCTAACTATTCTTGAGATAATTGAATTCCATACTTGAGTTGAAAATTGCTTTTGAGATTTGTTGAGATATATGAACAATAAGGTTCTTGAGGTTTATTGAACTGTTATTGGCTTGAAAGCTGTGATTGATGTTCATTGGGAGTATTTACTTAATCACTCATCTTGATATTATTCATGCTTCCTAACTTGCTTGTTATTGATATAAATATGCTTGGTGAGAAAGAATGTAAAGCACGAAAGGTGATGCCATTTTATTGCATATACATTATCATGTGAGGAAGAGAGTAGAGCACGAAGGGTGATGCCGTGCCATTTTATATACCTTATCATGTGAGGAAGAAAGTAAAGCACGAAGGGTGATGCCGTGCCATTGTATTTATATTATCATGTGAGGACGAAAGTAAAACCACGAAGGTTGATGCCGAGCCATTATTTTTATATTATCATGTCTTCATGGCACGAATGGTGTTTCTGTGCGTGCAAGGACGAGAGACATGCATTATATTGTGATGTATTTTTCTTGTATATACATTTATTCCTTTATCTTGAGTTGTTACTGTTGCATCTATGTTTTCTATGTGACTTGTCGTTGTTGTTCTATCTTTGTCCTCTATCTAAATTGTTGTTGTATTATTCGCGCCTTCTATTTGTTTAGCTTATAAAGATCATGCTTTCCTTCTTGTTTGTTATATCTACATCTATGCCATTTTTTATTTGTTGCACTTTCGTATAAGCCATCTACATTGTTAGTCATCCATGCCTTCTATTTTGTTTAGCTTATGAAGATCATGCTTTTCTTCTTGTTTGATTATCTACATCTATGCCATTTCTCATTTGTTGCATGCACTTTAGTATAAGCATTCCACCATGCTAGTTAGTGAAATTTATGTCCTCCTATCTTAATTGCTATCATTACTTCTAGGCCTCCCACCTAGGATTTAAAGAATTCTAACAAATCCAAGTAAAAGAACATACGTCTTCAAAGTATTTATTGAAAATCTCCATTTCAAGTAATTCTTGAGTTCTTCAAGGATTTAAAGAATTCTAACAAATCCAAGATTGCCTTGATATTATTAATAATGGTACTAATAAACTTTAATTAACACTAAAGATTGATAGAAACTCACCTTGGTTGGTAGATGACAATTTTAGGTCGTTTTCTCCACCATAGGTCTACACACTTGAGCAATTTTCAGAATGAGGAAGTGAGGGGCCGGAATGCCTTTTAAAAGGCTTCATGCATCGGAGGTTAGGAAAAATGTGTTGCAGGGGCGGAGGTACAGTAGTGGGTGCGGGTTTTGGCGAACCCAGTGACTTATTCCGAAACCCTGTATTAGTATTGAAAAATTTACCACGTCTATATAAATAGATCATGCTGAACCCAGTAACAAAAGAGGTCTGGGTTCAATGGTAAGGGCTGTGGGTTCTCTGGAAAAAGGTGTGGGTTCGATTCCCGATTAAAGCAGTTTTTTATTTCATTTTTTTAATTATATATTTTTTCACAAATTAACTGAACGACAACGTTTTATTCACTTTCCTCTCAACAGACACTAAATAACATTATTTAATATTTAAAACATAACGTGTTTCTTTCTAATAAACAAAGAATAGAAGCTTCCCAACTTTAAACACAAACGTTTTCTTCCAATTCCCAAATCAAAAAAAACTAGGGTTCTGCTGCCTCTGCTGGGCCTGGGACCTGGGTTCTCCGCCCCTGACCACAATCTGCGTCTGCCTCCAACTCTCCAATGTGTATTAGTGTATGCTCTTTCTCCCTTAGAAGTTAGACCCTTCTTAGTTAAACTTAAAGTTAGTAAAAATACCTTTTCTTTTAGAACACTCCTGATTTGAGGCAAATTATTTTGGTATTGGAATGAATAACCCCAAATAGAAATAGTGCAGAATTGTTACAAAGTAAGTCATACGGTTGATCCCAATTTGGTTTGAGATTAAGCTACTGATGATTGATTGTAAAAGGGGAATCGGCTAAATGTGCTAACATGTGTGGGACCCGAATATGAACTTCAAGAGTAATGAATTAGTGTAATGAATTGTGCTATCACAGAAGTATTACTCTAGTATCATTTATGAATAGATGATTAAAAGGATATTTACTTGATTCTGAGGACATGAGTGACATTCTATTGAAAAAATTAGATGGTTCAGCTTAGTGAATACGTTTGAAAGGCTGCTCTGAGTTTGCATCTTTCTCAATTTAATAGAAATTTTGTAACCTGTTGTATATTCGGGGGGTCATGGGATCGAACTCCTTCTGAACTTATGTTTGTTTATCTGTGTTCAATTTTTGTTGCATTTACTCTTTGTATTTTAGCACTGTGCATTCATGAGTTCTTATTGGTATATCTTATAGTTTACAAATTGAACTATGTCAAAGGAGAGTAAAGAATAGTTTGTTATAGCATTTTGAAACATACAATTTCAAGTAAATTTGTGTTTTATGATTTTTAGGTTTTTCTAGCAAAAGTCGATATGATCACGAGTTTTTACAAAGCTTAAGCTTCTACAGCTTCTTCTAGCTCTCCTTTGACAAGTTCTCCATGTCCAGTTATTAACAACAATATTAATCCTTCCCAAGCATCGGATAAAGTGTGGGATTATGAGCCCGACCCTGCTAAAAGAAAACCAATTTCAGAATATCCTCCTAATTTACGTGACCGTGTAAGGAGAAATTATATACAAAATGGAGCTTGTCAACCTTGTGGTTTTGTCTTTCCAAAAAGAGATTGTGGGGGAATAATGCGTCACTTTAATCCTGAATGGTTTAAAACTTCATGTTCTCAATGGTTAGAATTTAGCATTAAACAAGATGCAGCATTTTGTTTATATTGTTACTTGTTTAAAAATGAGGTTGGAGGATATGGAAAAAAAAGTAGGTGATGCTTTCACAACGGATGGTTTTAGAGGTTGGAATAAAGGTTTAGAAAGACTTAAATCACATGTGGGTGACGTAAGTAGTGTTCATAATCGATGTTTCAAGATGATGCTAGATTTAATGAACCAAGAACAATCCATTCTAACTTCTTTGGACAAGCAATCTGAGAAAATTAAAAGTGAACATCGAGTTCGTTTGAATGCTTCAATTGATGTGATAAGGTATCTTTTGAAAGAAGGAATTCCTTTTCGGGGCCATGATGAGAGTGTAACTTCTACTAGAAGAGGCCATTTTTTAGATCTCTTAAAATGGTATGCAGATAGGAAGGAAGACGTGAAAAACGTGGTATTAGAAAAAGCTCCAAAANTAGTTCAGTTAAAACCAAAATATAGCACCTGTTATAAGTAAATATTTATATATATAATAAATTATAATAACACTAAAATTTAAATACAAAATAAAATGAAACTATTAATAATATAAAATTATCCATCAAGAAAATAATATCCATAAAGCAAATGTTCTACCCCATGAGTGCAGAAGTTTAGTACATTTCAAGAGAGTAAGTAAGTTTCAAAAATGTTGGTAACAAAAGATTCCTAGAACATTCCTCTAAAACAATTCAAAATTCTTCTCAAGTAAGGTCTAGTTCTTCATTGTTTTCATCATCCATTTCTTGATCTACTCCACCTACAAAAGAGGATAAATAAAGTTATTACCCTTCAAGAAATCTAGTCTAAGAATACTCATAGCACAAATTGCCATGAAAAAAGAAAAGAACATGAAAACTCCAGAACCAATAATAGTAGTTGCAAAACAAAAAGAAACTACAAAAGAAGTTCAAATCTTCCAAGTTGGCCATAAGATGCCAAGCCATGAACTGTTTGCTAATGCAATTAGGACCATAGTTCCTTCTGAACTGGTGTATTTCAATTTTTTTTTCCTTACGAAACTTGAGGATAAAGTTGATTCAAGTTGTAAGTCAAAAAGTATTACTTTCTCACACATATCCCTTACTCTTTGTCTTCTTTTATTTTTAACTATTCTAATCTCTCCTCCTCTCCCCAAAGACAATGTATTAATAAAAATAACTATCACTTCTCCCATCTAATTATGATTAATCCATGTTTCTGTTAAAAGGGTAGAAGATGAGGAAAAGAAGAAAATAAGCCAATGAATAAGCAGACTATTAGGCAGAAATAAGGCCACAATTTAAGCCCATCTTGCATTAAGAAGAGTATCTCTAAACAAGAGGTCTTCGATGGAAAGAAATCAAAATTTCACTTATCTATTGATTTAAAGATGGAATGAGGACTTCACCAGCCAACTTCTAGTGCAATCTAAAGATGGAGTTTGTGGGATTAAATTTTTTTATTGAACTCAGAAACTGGGAAGCAGATCAAGTCCAGGAGGTTCACATATGACATCAGTTTACACATTGGATTCTAAAAACAAATTCTAATACCGAAATAGGCACATCTATAGGAAGAAAAAAGGATATTACCATATCCACTCTGCCTTGAACCAAAGCAAAATCCCAACCAATGAATGAGGAGGAGAAGAAGAAATAGAAGAAGATGTATAACATTTGGTACGTACTGACCTTGATTGTTACTACCAGCAGATGGTCGACTGTTTACTTGAACAACAGCTTGTTGTGCAGAGGAAGCTTCTACAGGTGAACGTGCACTGAACCTTAACATGTCAGGATCAAGTCGCAAATCTGGGTTCAACAACCTTGTTCATTTGAAACTGCAGTTGCTTCCTCAATTGCAGGTCAATTTGCCTTCAAAATGCATGCCAAACATTTACAGCCAAGCAATTTTCTCAAAGCAACCAACCAAACAATTCATTTTAATAAAAAGAAACAACTGTTGCCACACTTAGTGCAAAATAAGTAGTACATAGCTGAAAAATTAAGCAGGCAAATGTACAGAAGTTTTCAGCAGAAACTGGCAGCAAAATAGTGTAGATCACACTCAAAATTCAAAATAGTGGAGTTATCAGTAGCTTTTGAACTGGACAACAGCTCACAAAATGCAGAATTTACAACTGTAGGAATAACACAACTGAAATAACTGAAGAAAAATCACAAAGCAATCACCGGACAGTCACATATGAAAGGTTCAACAACCTTGTTTCACTTGAAGCTGCAGTTATTTCCTCAATTGCAGGTCAATTTGCCTTCAAAATGCATGCCAAACATTTAACTTTATTGTCTTTCTTTTATTTTTTCCCCAAAAATTGATTGCTGAAATTACAAGTTTACATCCTTTTACTTCATCTCCAGGAAGGGAGATTACTATCGCTATTTAGCAGAGTTCAAATCATGGAATGATCGTAAAGAGGCAGCTGATCAGTCACTTAAAGCTTATGAGGTTTCTTTTGTTCCACGCTATCTTATTTGGCTCAATCTTCTTCTATGTCTAGCTGCAGCATTTGTTTCCTTGTTGTTTATGATGACAAATTATTTTTTTTATTTATTTAGTTGTTTGTCTTCTTCTTAATTAAGCTTATTGCTCTATTTTTGTAGGCTGCTACTGCCACAGCTAGCGCAGATCTTGCTCCTACTCACCCAATTAGACTTGGACTTGCATTGAACTTCTCAGTCTTCTACTATGCCAGCAAAGTTGTGCATAATGCCTACAAAATCTAATGTTCCCAGGGCAAATTTACAACACTTGAGGTTTTAGTTGACAAGAGTGCAACAATAGGCCGAGCAACCCAAACTATCATGTATTGCAATGTATTAACTCTTTCACTACTTCCTGAGCAACCAAATATAAGCAGGCAGCAAGTTGGTGATAGCTATCCTTTTGTTCTGTTTTCCGCTCAGAGCATTAAATTGAAGATAGGAGTGTTATCCATCATCTCCTAAAATAGCATGTCACATCACTTGAGCTAACTGGATGATTATTATGGCAACTCAAGATTGCCTTCTTTTTCAGTTTTCTCCTAAATAGACAAAGTATACGAGATTTTGAACTAAAGCATTTCAATC